CCCCCCTCTCCTCCACCCACATTCTGCATTCTCCCCTAATGTCTTATTTCTCCCATCCTGCTCTGGAATGGCAATCTGGTTCTCAGGCTTTACAGAGAGAGGGGAACGAGATGGCAGAGGAGAGGCCACTCACTGCTCTTGAAGTTGCCATGAAAATAAAGGCAGAGGTGGGTCAGCTTTTGGGGGAGCTGAATGTCTCTTGGAATAATACAGCATTAAGGGCGCAGAAAGTTCTGGAAGGTCCAAACAGACAAACTACCTCCCTGGCTCCTAGAACTTCTCTGACTTTGGAAAGTCACTTTGAAAATCTCCACAGATTTAAAACACAATAAACAGTCCTAACTCATGCACAGGTATGAGCAGACAGATTTGAGACGTCGGTATTCTCAAATGCTTTGGCCTGGGGATCCATTTAGAGTATTAAGGGCTGGATAGATGCCTCAGCATGTAAGAGCATTTGTGGCGTTTGTAGAAAACTTGTGGTCAATCACCAATACCCTTATGTTGATGCACAATCATTTGTAACTCCAAGTTCAGGGGAGCCAACACTTACTTCTGATGGCCTCAGGCACCAGGCATCCATGTCGTATACATACATACACACAGGCAGAACAGATGTAAACATAACAACAAAAACTCATACTTAAATATTAAGAAAATAAGACTTCTATCTTGAGAGAATCCATTTAGATGGGCTATTCTTATTAACATTTGCTTTATTAGAAATTGTAGACTAAGAATTTTTGAGAGCTTATTAATTCATGAAAAATTAGGTAACACCTTAAAATACACAATATACTTTTATAAAAAAGGTATTTGGAGACAAAATGGGAATAATGGTGGAACTATTTTACAGTTTTTCAAGCCTCTTTGCTGTCTGACTTAATAGAAGACAGTTGACATCTCATTTCTGTCTCTTTAACCAATCCCTGGTCCCTGGAAAAGTGTTTGTCTGTTTGTCTCTCTTTGTAGCTCTGTCTGTCTCTCTTCTCACTATCTTTCTTTTTCTATTGTTCTCTGTTTCTCTGTCTCTTTTTACTGCTGTCTATCTCTCTCACATATAAACACAAACACACACACACATATACATACATACATATATATATATATATATATACACACACACACACACAAGGGTGAAAAAAGCTAATAGTCTTATTAACATTATTATCAATACAGTATTGGCCGTGTGGTCTTCCAGGAAGGGCTCAAGAGATCCTGAGACTATATTTTGAGAACTGCTGTATTAGAGCTTTTCAGTGCTTTAAAGATATAACCCAACTTGAAGGAAAGAAAAAGAAAGACAATGATAGTCTTTCCCTAAATATTCTGCAAGCTACATCTTGTTTTAGCATCCGGTTCCTCTGGAAAGCAGCTGCCTCCACCAAGGATGCTATCCAAGGGTGGCAGACCAGCAGGGGACACCCTACTGCCTCAGACCAGCTTCATCTCATTCCCACGCAATAGGAAAGCCTTACCCAGACACCAGCTATGGAGGGTTTTTTTTTCCTCTTTTGTGGGATTTTTTTTTTACATGCTTCTGTTTGAGACTATATTTTAGTTGCTAAGAAACTAGTTTCTTATTGTAGACTCAGTGAGAGCAAAGATAAAGCAACTGTCAAAATAGCATGTTATTTTGACAGTAGCCATATCATAACCATAAATGATATAGTTTATCTGTACATTTTTACCCTCACTAATGGGCTCTAAATACTGTATTCTCAGATACTTCACACATATACAAAGACACATACACATGCATTTTAATAAGAAAGGTCACCGAAGAGTTAGGTGTGAATATTCAGGAAATCACACACACACACACATACACCATACATACAAACACACACACACATGCATACTTGCATATTCCACCCATCCTGGTCCCCAGGGAAAGCTCTCTCTAAGGAAAATTCAGGATTACAAACACTGGCTCTACCATAAATGTTTATTACATTTGAAGTGGTTTTTAAGGAGGCGGTGAAACACCGTGGAAGGGAATACGCATTTTCCACATTCAGCTTTGTTTAAAGTCTAACATTCTATTTACAGCAAAAATGTTTTGCACCTGTTTGCTCACTCACTGTCATGCTCACGTACTGACTCTTTATCCACCAAATGATGGTACTCAGCACCAGACAGCTGAGCTTACACACTGGCCTGGACGGCCCGTGGATCTCCTAAAGCATGTCTTCATGCGAGATTAACGACAGGCTTGGTCTTTCTCTGTTCAACATGCTCAAAACCTCCAGCAATTAAAAACGTAGGAGTTGAACATTTTATTCAACTATTGTTTTGTCCACAAGGGTTTGGAAGGGAAAAAACAAAAATGTACCATTTCCTCCCTCTGTCCCACAACCAGCTATAGTAATGAACGCTACTCATCAACACTTGCCTGTTTCTAGGGTGATGGCACTTAAAACTGAAGAACACTGACTGGTTGTTAGAAATAATTACTGAAAGTATCAGAGCAACATACTAACATTCCTGTCCCGCTTTAATGAGTTGGCTGTGCCCGTTAAAACAATCTAATATCTACTAACTATCTAATATCCAAATAGGTACATATGCGAAAAGAGATTAGGGGGATATTTAACAGTTTCATTTTGGGGGTAGAATTAGGGAGGTTGCTGGACCTCTGAGACAAGGCTCAGCTGGCAGACAACAAGCCACTGGGGGAAGACGTTAAAAGATACAGCCATATCCATCCATTCTCTACTTTCCAATCCACCAAAATGGACGAGCAACCACCTCATGCTCCTGACATCATGGAAGATGCCCAAGCACACCTTCCCTTTCAAGAGTGGCTGTTCCTCTAAAACCGGGGGCCAAGATAAACCTCTCTCCCTGTAACATGTTTCCATGAGATACTATGTCTCAGTGATGGGAAAGTAACTAACATGGCATTTTAAAGGGCTTTGGATGTACTTTTATCTTCCTACTTTGGGGGAACCTGTGAAGTATTCCACTGAGTGTGAAGTTTCTTTCTTCAGCAGCGTAGAGTGAATGGGGCACAATCACTGAACCTCCTGTAGGCCTGTGAAGGCTTTTTGCTTGCTCTTGTTTGCTTGTTGCTTCTTCCTTGCATTCCTGAGTATATCTTTAAACAAGGATTTTTGTCCAGTTTTTCCTACTACCTACCCACCATGGCCCTGACCGCTCTCATCATCCTGTTGAGGTCCCTGAGTGGAGGGCTGGGGCAGATGATACACAATCAAATGCAAAGCATTAGCCCTTTGCATCTTACAAGGAAGGAGGGAATCATGCTGTGGGTTTTTTTCTCCCCAAGACAATTCTCATTCTTAGCAGGGTAAGAGGAAAAGTCCCTCAGAAAGTAGCCAACCTCCCAAATGTTTCTGCCATGGGATTCAAAATTTGTGATGGGAATTCTAAGAAGCAAGTGGTTTGGGTTTTTTTGTTGTTGTTGTTTTTTTTTTTTTTTTCGGAAATCTGCCTTTTTTTTTTTTTATTATTTAGCCTTAGCTGATAGAGATCTTGGTGCTTCTTCTAACGACTGAAGCTGATCTTAGGCAACAAAGCCAGAAGAATCGGAATTGATTAGGTG